TTGGCTTTTCTCCACAGTGTTTTCCGTTCCGACCATCTACAGCATCTGCGATCTTGTGCCCTGATTGGTCCACGCACCAGCACGTGTCCAGATGAATAGAACATTGGATCACGTGATACGCACCGTTTGCATTGCATCGAGGCAGAAATTCGAGTCGCAGTCTTGGGTCACGCGCAACGATGCGGTCTCGTTGACATTGCGTGGAATCTAGAAGATATCATAGTTCGTTTAAAACCGCCAAAATCCCGAATCTTTACCAATGAGGGGTTCTCTCCTAAAGAGAATCCGGGAACGAGGTTGGGTGTCATCAAAACCGGGTAGAATTAAGCTGATATGGAATTAATCAGTTTTGCTTGTATGGCTAAATTTTACCACCCCTAGTTGAGTGGAACAAGTCAATCATCCCGGGCACCGGCAATCGTTTCAAGAGGTCTTTTCCGAAAGTAGGAGGCAAGGGAAATGGAAAATAAAACTTCTCAGTGTGCCTACCGGTAGTCTGCGTGGCAGGTGTTTGAAAGTGAAGGGATAGGGGGTCTTGGGTGCGTGAGAACGCGAAGGGCGCGCGAGGAGAAAGGGAGAAAAAACGCCTGCTACGCAGGCTAGGGTGCCTGACCGCGTGGACACGTCCACGCATCATTAGAGGAGATCTCTCAGATTTGTGGCTGACTATAGGAAAAAGAATTAAAATCTGTCGTTCAAAGCAAGTTCTGAAGAGCCTAGCCTGCAGAACAGGCGTCATTTGTTTTAGCTTTTCTCTCAAAGGAGCATGGCCATACTGAAGGCTAAGCGCGAGGTGGGTATGGAGCGCGAGTTCGCTTGCTGGTGCTTCACGCGCCCTCCACGCCCGCACGCGCCTTCCATCTGACCTCGTCTCCAGGGGTTTTCCCTTCAAAAATGGGAGGGGCCCATTTTTAAGGGAAGAAATACATTATATCCTTTCGCACTGATTATAGGGATGAGGAACAAAATACAAGCCTGAAAGCGGTTGCGTTGCAAGTTTTGCATAACGCAGAACTTACTTTTCGTTTTATCCTCTTGAAGCTTTATCGTGATGTCACCAAATCCTAGTCTGTTTCGGGCTCTACACTTGTAGTCGCCAAAGTCAATGTCACGATAGGGAGTCACGCGTAACGCACTCACTCCGTCCATATTTTCTACTTCCTGTACACAGTACTTGCAATTGGTGTCCAGTTTCTTGCCGTCTTTTGTCCAGTGCACCTTAGGTGGGGGGTTACCAGTGTAAACGCAATTTAAAGTGGCTTCTTTTCCTAGAGGAGTAGTTTTTACATGGTCTGAATGGCTTTTGTCGATGCGAGCCTTTTCCACTTTAGGCGACACTAACAAAAGTGAGTATAATCTGGGTCAGCTTTACAGTCTGGATAACAAACAACGGTATGAGTATAAAATATTAGATGACGTTCACTTTCAAGAAGAAATGACTGATCGATTTCACACAAAAAGTATTCTAATTCCGGGCAGCCCTTATCCTAAACACAAAGACAAAGTTTTTTAAAAAATTCTTTTTAACATAATTTGCGATTTCTTCGATCTGTAAAATTAAACATGGATAATAAAATTTCGACAAGCAATGACAAGTTTCCATAGGAGTGAATGTACTCTCCCTTAACTTCCCTTACCTGGACTTAAGAAGCAATACATCCATAAAGTGATGAAAACCGCTGTTTTCATGATATGATTGACGATGCTTTCTTACAAAAGAAAAGTTTTCTTCAACTGTGACGTAATAAAAGGGCTCGCGCTCACGATATATCATCGCGCGCGCTCGAGAAAAAGACGTATCCTCGCTTAACTTAATAAAACTGCTGAAAAACAAAAAAGAAAAAACTGTTTGAATGCAGAGGTCCACACAACACGTAAATATAACTGACTGGTTCCTGTTGCCGGATCTCTAATTAAAGAGATGCTTTAGCCAGACGTCACTTAAAAGTGTAAAATAAAACAAAACCGAATAGCTCTGGACCAGAGGAAGGCTAATTTTGTTAGCCGAAATATTGGCCTATATTAAATCAGCCCTTTGCCGTAGTGCCAGCCCTACATTCGGTTTGTCTTATTTTTCTGCAAAACAGATTTATTTTCACTTGTTTTGGCTTTGCGTGAACACTAAAACGATCTTATCAAAGACTCTGGAACTCCCGAGATTTATGAAAATATAAGAGTTCTGAAACGGCCTCTGCTTGAATAATTCATTGCATTTTTCCAGCAATATTTGTTTAGAATCTTGGCAAAAGAAAATTTTTCTTTCTTCGCCACTTTGGCTGATGAATCTCGGAATGACCTTATGGGTAGCAGAACACTTATTACAAAACATATATTTTATAAAATATTTTACGGGTAATAAAGCTGAAGTAACAATTTTCAATAAATTATCTAGATAAGCAAGAGAGAATGAGCTCATTGTCTCTTGCTATAAGTAATTTAAGTCATAGTGTGTTTTGTTATTTTAATGAAAAAATCGTAAGCTCAACTGAACTTTCAACCTCGGGGAAACATGGGCAGCAGGAGCTTGGGCAGCTAATCGGGACGGAAAGCAGGAGGACCCCCGGATACCACAAAGTGCCAAGGGATCGGGATTATTAATCTTCCGTTATAACGGGGGTACATTATCCCAGAGTCCTAGACATTTTACTGTAACTGGAGGCAAAGCATATTATTAGTTACACCCGGGTTCGATTATTTTCTCGTGAGTCAAATAATTGCTTTCAAAGTTCACAGAATCAACAATCAT